GGATGGGGCCGGGGATAGGAGGAGGAGGAGGAGGAGGAGGAGGAGGAAGAGGTGGAGAACAAGGGCTTGTATCAAATATCGATTAGCAATGGGCAGTAACTTTGTTTAAATATGACAATCATTCCGTTATAGCCCAAGGAAAAACGTAACGGTAAAGCCTAATGCCCGACGAAAGAGGTACCGAGTATTATATTAGTTAATGAATGGAGCTAAATAGACATTTCATCGTTCGAGACTCGACTTTCATCGCCTCGCGCCATCATCCTCGACGAGCACAAAGCCCGGCCATACGGATTCACTCTCGCTAAGGCCGCCGGGAAAAATGCCGGTGAAACCGGAAAGAGGAGTAACGAGCGTCCGATATCTCGCCGCTTCCACCCACGGCAATCGTAACGGTGCGTCGCTCAGCTTTTTCTCGCCGCTCCAAGAGGAACAGATAGAGGCGCACCGAATGAACGACCCCTCCCCCAGCCTCTCCCTCCGCCCCCAATCGGCCGCTCGTGTATTATGCGCGCGTTATATCGTGGAAGAGCAAGCGTATATATGCATTAACGAGCAGCGCTTATCGCGCGGAATTTTCGTTGGGGGAAACAGGCTCTGCCTAGACCTGCTCCCAGCATCTTTTTATGTGGTCGCAGCGAGTCTCACTCCGTACGTCTACGTGTACTCGCGCGCTCGCGCACTGACGCGTTTTTGTTGGCGTGCGTACGTGCGTGCGTTCGTGCGTGAGAGAGAGAGAGAGAGAGAGAGAGAGAGAGAGAGAGAGAGAGACGGACGCATCGATGCAGTCGATGAGTGAGAAGAGGTTTTCTACGCGGATCTCCCGAAGGAAAATCAGTGCGATACGTAATTTAGCTTCTTCTTTTTGTCTTTTTCAAGCACTGAACGATATTCGAGAAAACGCCACTGTTCTAGTGAAAAATTAATTAAGTAGTGGGGGTTTAACACTCGACTTGGAATTATTTTCAAGCCTAGAGAGTTTATTACCACCGTTGAGAAGAAAAATGCCAACGCTCAGTCGTATCGATTGCTCCTAATCGGTAAATAACTTCGACATTATTTTAAATAGCCAACAAAATGTCATAATTGGCAATTAAATAATTTGCTTTACGCAAAATATATACGATCATTAAATAACGAAAAAACTTGATCTTTTGTATTATTCTAGCAAAGGTTATTTTCCTCGTACATATAATTGACATAAGCTCAGAGTTACAACTCACGAGTTCCAATAATGCTTCCTAAGGTATAGAAAACCTTATCTAATTGAATCGGATCTAAAAGAATGTACAATTTAAAATTTAAGGTAATATTAATTTCATGATTTTCGTTATAAAGAACTCTAGTAAATAAATAAATAAGTAAATAAATAAATAAATAAATAAATAAATAAATAAATAAATAAAACTCTTGTAAACATACGCCATGTAAATTATTCGGCGAATTTAATTCAATTTCTTTTTTATGATATAAATTTGTAACTGAGAGACTTTCCAATTTCGTCTACATTAATGCTCTTCAAATTATGCAATACGAGTTGGTATCTCAAGTATTCGCCAATGCATATAAAATCAAACTTTGATGAATTAAATCAAAATAAAATTACACGTGTATTTCTACTTGGCTTTACGTAAACATTGAAAACATTTATATTTTGTTAATATTTGCAGAAGTATTGCCGTATTGGGTCAGATATACAGAGTGAACAGAAATTTTTGTAAGTGCATACGTCTCTGCTGAATTAGCTTTTCACATTCGCGAGAAGTGTCATACTGGAGAATTTGCGAATGATGTAATAAGAAATTTTCTTTCTATAATTTCATTTCAGGAAAATGTCAGTATAAATAAACTAAACATGCGCTATTTCGTCTTCAAATTGATATACTCTAATAATAAAATTTCTTTGATGGATATAGGAAGAAATAAATTTTGCAAAAAGAATTTTTGTGATAATTTTGTGCTTTTCCCCATTACGTTACTATATTTTTTCAAGATTACCATTTTTATATGTAAAGTAGTTTTCTTTTCTTTTCTTTTCTTTTTCTCTTAACAAAAAGGTAAAATATATTTATTATTACATAGATTCGAGCTATTTTTCAACATATATTATCAAAACGCATTGCTTTGTTTGAAACATTTAACACGCAGACGGAATTATTTAATTGTTAAAGGAATTAAATTCCTTATGCAACTCGACTGCATCCCGCCTAATACAATCATTGAGGTAGTCGAAGTGTTTTGCTGCCACAATATTCAAATATTCAAATACGAAGTCCAACGCCAATAGTTAGAGAATTGACGATTGAAAAGTCTGCCGAGAAATTCGATGAATCCAGGTGAACAAAAGGAAAAAGGCCCGAGGATAGTAGAGAGAGAGAGAGAGAGAGAGAGAGAGTGAGAGAGAGGAAATGTGAGAGGAAAGTCACTAGCAACAAGCCATAGCCTTTGTAAAAAGCAACTAGTCATCCGCGGAGCTCACGAAAAATGTCAAATCCACCTTCCATGCCTCTCTCTCTCTCTCTCTTCTATATTATCCCGCCCCCGCAATCGCATCGTAGCCCAGAGCCCCGTTCTTCTCCCTCTCTCGCTCTCCTCAGTCAAACGGATGAAAAGCGTCCGCGAGACGCGAAACCTCGGACGGGGTTAGAGGCTCGTGGCGTGAGAAACCGCCGACCGCCTCGAGGACGAGGCCACGGGCGCCCGTTAAAACGCTGCTCTCTTTCCGCTTCCCGGTGCCGCGGGGGTCGGACCCGTGGCGCCCGAGATTGGTATCTCAACCCCCTGCTCGACAGCTTTTTGGAAGAGTTATTTTACAGACGAGAGAAAGAGCCCCGATGATAATGTGTGACAATCGGCTCGATCTCGGAGACGTACGCACGAGGTGTATCGCACTATGGAATCTTCTTATTTGAACTGCGCATAGTCGGAGCCTTGTCGGCTACGTTTTTACCTTGGCTTCCGACGATATTTAACGAAAATCGTCTTCCACTCTCTCTCTCTCTCTCTCTCTCTCTCTCTCTTCGCTTCTCGCTTCTAAGCACCGCTAGCTTAAGCGTCTCGAGGATTTCAAGAAGAATGACGCCGGGGGTATCAATTGTTTTATTTCTCTTCTCCAAGCTTCATTTGCCTCTGTCCTTCCCCAAGCCTTATACATCTTTGGGACGACTGAACATTGAAATAATCGACAAAACAGCCCGAACGACAATGCACTGTTTTTCGTACGTGAGATTAAAATTTAATAATTCTTTTTTATCAAAGCGAGTTACTTTTGCTAGGTTGGAATGCGTATTAAAGTACACGTGAAGAGAGATAATGTTGGACGAACTTTTCAGCGAACGAAGCAATTTTAAGCCCTCGGTCTTCTCGGATGCTTCTGCGTGCTGACACGCGATCAATGTCTCGAAAAATTCCAGCGCTCCGGGACCGCTCCCTACATATTTACGGAGCGCACGGATTATTCGAATCGAGTGGCCCGTCCGTCTCGGAAGTCACGAAGGTCGTCGGCAACATTACATTAAGACGCGCGCGTACAGCAATGCATTGCCGTGAGGCCGAACAGAGAGAGAGAGAGAGAGAGAGAGAGAGAGTAGAGAGAGAGAGAGAGTAGAGAGTAGAGAGAGTAGAGAGTAGAGAGAGTAGAGAGTAGAGAGTAGAGAGTAGAGAGAACAGCGAGAGAAGAGAGAGAGGAGAGAGAGAGCGGGTGGCGAGGGGGGAGGGGGGAGGAGAAATGAGCGAGAGGAGAGGACAGACGAGAGAGAGAGAGAGAGAGAGAGAGAGCGATTGAATCGACCAAAGGCCAACCAACCATCTAACCCCTCAAACACCTTGCCACCGTATTTGCCATTTCGAGCCCCCCAAAGTGCTTAGCGCCGACCTCGCGCTCTTTCACCACCGCGACAACTAGAGACCCGGAGAGAATCCCGTTAGACGCGACCACCCCGTGGAAAATCCCAACCGGGACCTACCTGTCGGAACCCCGCGGCAGCTTCCTCTCCCCCTGGGCTCGCGGCCGCTCTGCTTCACCTTCACCTCCTTCTCCTTCCTCTCCCTCGCTTCAAGCACTCGCGCACAACGCACTTAACTTCGCGCCGCCCCCGCAAGAGGGGCTGCTGGGTGGACGAAGGACGTGGGCCGAGATATCGTGAAAATCGTAACCGGTCTCGCAATGAGCCGCTGCCGCTCGGGGCAAGCGCCGATGCGCGACTGGCTCCGGCTTCGTGCAGAGCCGCTCTGGGCGCCTTCTCTGTGTGCCTCCGACCGTGTGCCCGTGTATGCGTGCGAGACCGGCCTCCGTCGGCCCTCTCTCGCTCCTTCTTACTTCGGGCTGTCTGTCTACCTCGTTGGAGGCACGCAAGCCAAAGAGACTCGCGCGTCTTACGCGCGGGAGGAAGAGAGAGAGAGAGAGAGAGAGAGAGAGAGAGAGCGAGCGATGGCAAGCAAAGCGGGAGGTGTAGTAGGCGGAAAGGAGAGTAGCGGGTGCACGGGGTCGTGGTCGTGGTCGGTGAGGGGGGATGGGCAGTGGATAAGGGTGGGGCGGGTGTCTGTCCGTGAAGGAGTTGGGGGCTGGGAGGGGGGGGGATCCTATGATGAGGAAGGAGGAAGGAGCAAGGGGAGGGAGGTAGCAGGCAGTCCCCGGCATTATGGATACGGACGGCGAGGTAAGCCGTAAAGGTGGGTCCACAGGTATGGGCGCACTTTCGGCTGCGACGGCGGCTCAAGGGAGCTGTGTGGGTGCTCACGCATTGTGCGGAAGGACCGTAGAATCGGATGGAAGCAGCGTCGCTTTCTGGATGAACGGCCTCATTCATACTCGCAAAGGCAGCGCCGCGGCTGCGTCCACCGGGTTTCTCCGGTGTCGACGTGAAAAGCTCGTTATGCGGGAAAAGACGCGACTTAGCCGGACGGTTCTATTAAAAGTGGTGTGTCCTTGGGCAGCCGAGGACGACAATGTGCCGGGGAACGGAAATGAGATTTGACGATTATCGAGCGATTAAAGGACGACGATTGTGGTTTATCGATGTCTCGATCCGTATGGATGATCAGACGGCTTATTTATAGGCAAACGATGCTTTACCATTTATTTAACTAATGGCAAAGCGGAATTGGCCACTCCTCTCGACCGCCTTATTGTTTTATAAATTCAATTCCTTGGTAAAAAAAAAAAAAGAAAAAAGAAACAAAATTCTTGTCACAATTTTGGGAATGGATTGAAGAGGCTCGCGGTAAGAGCTCGCTCGAAAAAATGTAAAAACAGCCACTCGGCTTAACAAAGAAATCGAACGTGGAATACAAATATACGAAAGAATGTCCTTTATACTAAAAAGCACTTTTAAAAACTTCTTAAATAATGGTCGGCACTGTCGGGAAATGATATAAATTGTTTTTAGGAAGCTGAGCCGGGCGATTAGAATTAAAATTTAATCGGTCGAAACAGGTTTAATTAATATCGTATCTACGTGGAAGCGAAATAAGCCTTTAAATAGCCGAGGAACATAACAATATAGAAAAATAAAATAGTACAAGAAAATAACAAAGACGTGAGATTTCGAAACGACAGACGATTAGCTAAATTACTCGATAAGAAATTCGAATGTCGTGCAGTGATATTTTCAAACAACAATATTTCAATTGGCAGTGGCTTTACATGCTAATATTTATGCTGACGACACCTTAAAACAATAATTATGAATTTATCCATCCATATTTAATTTATTTTCTACTTAGAATATAACGTCTGTATTGTAGCTGATAATTATTTGGCAATTTAACAACAACAACAACAACAACAACAGCAACAATAAAAACAACAACAACAACAACAACAACAATAAAAATTATAGTAAGATAAACACTAATAGTAATAACGATAACAGCGATAGTAAACGAAATATAGAAATATAAAGTAAGCATAAAATTACGTAATAATGATGAAATTTAAAAACATTCCTTACAATTTTCAACTTTATTAAAAATTTAACCGAGACGAAATAAAGGCGCACGAGTGACAATTGTCTACAATTTAGGATTTTTTTAAATAAAATGAAAATAAATTATTGAAAAATTTATTTTTAACAATAAATGCATCAAAGTAAGAAAAATTTAAAACGAAATTTAAAATTTCATAAACGGGTGTGTATACGGCACACACACCACGCGCACGCACACTTCACATATTGCAGATTGTCCGTATATGAATCTGTGTAGTATATGGGATAGTGATATGTTCATAATAGTGATTCGCCAACAAAATCAGTCGAAAAAATAAATCGTATAATTAATTACCTATTATAATTGCCTGCGGGTGAAACAATATTTTTATTTATGTAAAAATAAAATTCACCTGCTATTTTAATTGTATGCAAGTGTCATGATAAATATTTAAGTTAATACATCAATGGGAGATCATTTAAAGTTATCAGCGGAGAATTTTAATTGACGTCAATAATTTTCCCGATAATGTCATTTTTACGATACAATTACTGTATTTTGTTGGGTGGTCGGGTATTACAGTCAGTGGGATAATAAATTTTGAGTTTCGAATGAATCAAAGTGCGTTTTTAATCAGAGTCATTATTTATCGTTGTAACGTCGTCGGTGCGTTGATTTAAGTAAAGTAGGATGGCTCATAATTCAAATGATCATCCGATAGTCCATTGATATTTGAAATTTTGAAGTGTTTGCGTGGGCGATTGCTTATCACATTGTACCTCGATTATAATTAAAGAAAGTCGAATGAAAATCGAAGAAAGTGTGAAAAGATGGAATTTATTATTGAAAATGTAGGGTAGACATTACAAGTTAGTAATTTGTCTGTGCGTAAGCCACTGAGAAACATACGAATGATTAATTGTTTTCAACGCTCGATCGTTCATAATCTAATTAACCGACAAATGCCAATCTTGTCAACTTTGCATTAAAATCATATCACAGACTCTCTCACTCCGGTACTCCTAACTCCATTAATATTATCTCTCCATCTTTCCATTGGTCTACCTACATACGATTCTTACTTTTCAATTATCAATCGAAATATCGCATATCGCCTCAAATCTTCGTTAATTTGATACTTTAACGCCAAGTCGCATACACATTTCGTTTAGTTCGTTCAAGCCTGTAAATTATACTCTTAAATTATACATTGCGAATCGAATTACTTGGCGCACGGACGTACATAGAGGACACATTGCAATTGTTAATCTCTCGAATTTTAACCTTCCACATCGGCCGAACTTAACTTATTTGCTAATCTAACTGATCTAACTGACGAGCGAGAGGAGCATTTTCTTAAATTCCTTCATTATATCGTTTATATCAATTTTACCATATTGCATCCTGACATTTTAATCCGTCCAACTTACCGTCACACACCAACTTTCTATCTTAGCATCCAGCATGATATCGAATCGAAGAACCTGTCAGTGGCGATATATTTCGACATTTCCCTGGCTTACATTTAATCTTCACCTCTTTTCTTTTTTCCCGTTCTCAATATAATTTCCGCATTTTCAATCACAATTCCTCGACTATCGACCATTGAATCTAGATCGGCCGCGTACGCTCGCACTCGACTCGTATCCTTTAAAATTATTCGAGCTTTATTCTCTACCAGGGATCTGATATCGCATTCCGAAAACTCAATTGAATAAGACAGATGATAGCGCGCCGGCTTATTTTAATCAATCACGGATGTGGAACGATTCTGATGTGTTATTCTCAGCGTGTTATTGAGCCATCAAATGGAAAATTAATAATAACTCCCGAGAGTTTTCGCGGCGTTAGAATCCATCGGGACTTATCTATAGCCGTATGACTCCAAGTTCATCCTCGATCGAGGATCTCCACCAGACCAGAAATTAGACGAATCTCGATTTTACCAACCCCTCTTGGGTGTGGAATCGAAGGGATCGTGAATCAAGTCCCAAATCCCCCTCCCGTCCATTATACCGGCAATTAGACGACGTAATCTACTACGCTGTGCTCGATCGTACCATCGCCTTCAACATCCCTACGACCCCCCGCCACCGCCTCACGCCCCACACTGAATTTCGGATGCTAGGGCAATAATGGGCCGATCGGTCGCAATCTCATAATCGTTAAAGCGGCACAAGGCATAAGGCACTGCTGGAACAGCGTACAACCGCTAGCGTAGCCGGCTGCGGCCGAAGCCATCCGAAGATCGGCGATCGGCTAGGTTCGGCTCTCGCGGTGGAATGCACGCGCCGGAAACCGGCCGCGGACTGGAATCGGGATCGGGTTCGGGCTTCCCCACTCCGCCCCTCCA